TGCTTTCTCAAATACTCTTCCTAATCTGTAGTGCACTGGAGTAGATGTCATGGCATTATTGTTAATGAAGTCTGACACATTTGTATGTTCTTTTGATTGCAGAGGTTGTACCTAGAAAAATTCTTCAATTGATGAAGGCTGAGAAGCATCTTACTAGGGCGCATGTGGCCAGCCATCTGTAGGTATTTTTTTCTTTTCCTTTCTGCTTTAATTTAATAAAACCATAGTTTTTCATTTATAGAACTTTATTTGTTTTTTTAATTGCTGCAAAAATAAAGACTTCGACTGAAAAGAATCAGGTCTAAGGCAACCCAGCAAGTCAGTCCTTTTAAATATCCTCTTCATCTGGTGAGATGATTAGTCCTAGGCAAACAAGTAATATTGTTCCATTTCAGGGGTTGGCTGACCAAAGCCAGGATGGCAGTTATGCTTCACATCTTACCAATTTAAGCTCAATAGGCTCAATCTTAAATGAAGACTTGGACTTGGAATTTGATTCTGACTTTGATCTTTATGATCCTACACAAATGATTGACTCGGATTATTACACAAATGATTGACTCGGATTATTTGTTGTCTATGTAGTTGATAACACCAATTATTTGTTGTCTATGTAGTTGTAAATGGGATTCAAATTTAATTCTTTGGCTTCCCAGATTTGTTCTCTACTGAGATTGACCTCCATTCATTTGTATTTTCTTTGAGTTTGTATAACCAACAAGTCACGTAACCATGCATTGTTTCTATTTTTATACTTTTATTTTCACTATTGTTCTTGTTTGGTTAATAATTAGTCTGATCAACATCGACATTTTTTGTGAATGATTGAACAAGATTATTTGTAAAGACTGATGAGTCTAATGTGGATGGAAAATTTAGCTTTCTAAAATTTTTGTGAATGATACCGAAGTGTCAATTACTAGTATAAATGTCCATAGATTATTCAATATGTTAATGTTTTTGAGTTATATAAGAGGAGTAGATAACTCTTTGGATCATATAGCCTCAAATTATGATTGAGCAGGGTTACATAAAAGGGACAAGAGTAAAGGGGGTAAAATTGTTCTATTTACATGTTTCAGCAAGTGCTTACAGTGGTACTTACATGTAATTGACCTATGAAGGAGCATCAACATGAATCAAACTCACGACGATTTAGTAAAAATTATCAACAAGAGTTGTTATATTTTTTGAAAAGGAGTAATTATTCTACCTAATTGATAAAAACATATATGACGTAAGAAGATGACAAATATATATGATAGATGGACATGTATAGAGATGACACTAGTCCACTACCATATTCTGAAACAGAAATGTCTTAATAATATATATATATATATATATATATATATATATATATATGAAAGGTGGAGAAAATTCTAGATATTTGTGCTCGCTTATAGATCTAGATTACTGAATAACTGTTGTTTTAAATCCATGATCTGTTTGGTGGAAAGAGAGAAAATATATTTATTTTATCTTAAGCATTTCTTCAAAATTATAAGGTTGTCTATTTATTTTTTTAGTCCTCTTTTTTAAATTTTAAAGGGAAAATATTTAGTTACAAAAAAAAAGGGAAAATATTTTTTATTTTAAAGGACATGATTTTATATTATTCTAAATAAAATTATATCGTTTTAATATATATTTAATGATTTTTAATATTTTCTTTCCTCTGTATAATTAGAAGCAGAGAGACCTAAAATAAAAGTCATCTAATTTAAAATGACAATTGTTTACAAAAAAAAATGACAATTAATTTTTCCAATTTAAAATGTGTAAATTTTATAAAAGGGTATGAGACACCGTGTAGGTGTGCATTTAAAACTCAGCAATACTTGTATTTTAGGAAAAAAAGGAAAAGAAGAAAGTTCACTTCAATTATGCATGTGTACGAGGTTAGCTGTGTATACTATGTAGGCTATTTGACCATTTTTGGGCTTTATCATGTGTATTTTCAGAGATGATCTTCAAGGTAAAGTGGCTGAGATTGAAAGTGTAAATTATCTCGAATCCAGTACTTGATTCTTGAAAGGTAAAAATGATTGAAATTATTAGGTGTGGTGGGACTCATGCTATCCGCTAGGGGTGATAATAAGGCCAAGGGCCTATCAGGGGCCTTAGGCCCGGCCCGTTTCGGCTCGGCTCGTCTTTTTTTATTATTAAGCCCAGACTTATACTCATGCAAAAGCTTTTTTATTTAAAAGGCCTCAGGCTTTCATAGCCAAGCCCGGCCTTGAAGCCTTGGAGGCTGGCCCGTATACATTAAATTTATTTATTTTTTATATTTTTATATTAATCATTTCAACATCCTTTTCTCAGTTTTCTGTCTCTGCTCTATCTCTTCTTCCCGATCTAAGTCATGTTCATCATCTATTTTTATAAGCCCTGCGGATTCCACGGCTTATAATGATGCTTATGGCGGCGACCGTGGAAGAAAAATTAATGTAAAATATGGAAGAAAATTTATTGGTGGGGTTCAAATCTAGTGTAAAGAATCTAGAATATTAAGAAATGTGGAAGAAAATTTAATGTAAAAAATCTAGAATGTGGAAGAAAATTAAGGAAAAGCAACGTAAAATAAAGTAAAGGTGATGTTGTTATTTTGATTTTTTAATATTAATGTTTTTTTATTATAAAAGAAACAACTATTATTTTCTTACAAAAAAATACATATCAGTGCATGATTAATGGGTTGAATACGGCTACAAATTGGAATGTAAGGTTTTTATTTTTAATAAATAAACAGGCCACAGGCTTGAGACATGCTTTTATTTTTTGTAAACGAACCAGGCCACAGGCTAATATTATATTCGTAACAGGTAACAGGCTGTTTAAATACAGGCTTGGCCCGTTAATATCAAAGCTCGGCTCGGCTCGGCCCGTTAACACCCCTACTATCTGCCACATGATCTTTCTCATTTTTGGTGTTTATTTTTCAAACGTCCTTTTATTTTTCCATTTGGATGGTTTATATTTCTATCTAAGTTTTGAATTTCGATGATGCAGATTCTGCAAAGGACAGAGATATTTTCTGAATTCACTGTCCCCATCCTTTACTTTCACCTCAACTTCATCAAGCACTTTCATAACTCATAGCTATATGTTGAATTGCGAATTGGGTCAACAACATTCCGCTATGGTGGGATGATAGAAAATAATGACAAAGGAAAGAAGCTAGACGAAAATTGCTAATGAAATCAACAGCTAAATAAAATAAAGGCAATAATGGTGAATCTCATACCATTGAAAAGAAGCCTAAAGCTATTTTGTTGGTTATTACTCTAAAGTAGCAAATGCATAATTAATGTAACGAATTTATGTTAAAGTGAGGAATAACAAAGTGGCAATAGTTTTCCTAGTTTCTCATGTTGCAGAAGAAATTATTCCTCTTCTGCATACCCATTAAATATACGGGACTCATTATATTAAAGAAAAAAGATGGATGAGACATTTTTATGAGTCTGTAATAGGGGAATAGTTTCTCCGGAGAAATCAATTTCCATTCAATTATATGAAAACATGGTTTATTTTATCTCATTGATTGCTTTTCTTGGAGGATTACGTAAAGATTTTTTGTTCTTTCCATTATAGTTGATTATATAGTGTAGAAGTTGGGAGCGGTAGATGGATCAGGGATGGAAATTTCAGATAAGGTTTTGGTGATGTCTGTTTGCTACTGTCACAATTTTAATTAATGACAAATGATTGACTTATATGAAATTTTGGCTCGTGGACAGGCCCTATCTCGTGGGATTATATAAGTTTTTGGCTCATGCAGGCTTTTTTATTTGTAGGATTTTTTGCCTAAACTCGTGCGAGCTAGGGCCTAACAGGAAGAGATAGCCTGTTTTGATGACTCTACTTTATATGTAAATTTAGGGGTGACAATATGGGTTGAGCACGACGGCAGTGGCGGAGCCAGCATGACATGTTAGCAAGTGCCAAAAAATTCAGCTAGTGCCCAAATAGCTACGGTTCTTTGGCTACGACCAAAACGTGGCTAATTTTCAAAAAATTTGAAAAGAATTTGCTACTTTTCAAATGTAGCTAAATGAACGTGGCTAAATAAGCCAGTGCCAAGGCAACTGTAGGCCACAACGTGGCTCCGCCACTGCCCGACGGGTCAACCCGCCAAAACGGGACGAGTTGGGTTGAGATTTTCAACCCACCAACCCACTTCAACCCGCCCCGCCTAGAAGTGGGTCAAAGAGAAAAGAAATTAATTAGGTGTCTAATTAAATTAAACACTTATTCAAGAAAATTATGTGAGATAAATTATTAGATTGAAATAATAATTAATAAGATGTTACAATCATACAAGTGTAATAGGATTCAAATATAATTATTTGATATGATTAAAAATATGAATGTCATTAAGGTGTAAGTTAGGGTTATTTTGGTGATTAGACAAAATAAGCCTAAATATGGATTAGAATGTATAATTAAATAGTTTAAAAAAAGAAATTAGTGGGTTCAAAGTATCTTTAATTTAATTAAATGGGGCTTAAATTAATTAAAAAAAAAAAAAAAAAAAAAGTCAAACTTGGTTAATTACAAACCAATAAGATGGGTTTTGATTTTATAAAAGTCAAAGTAGTGTAAATAAATACACTTAGTGATATTGCTTAGTCATAAACGATTTTGTCTCTTCTTTGTTACATGGTTACGTAAGTTCTTTTCTTTCATTAGATGATTGATGAATGTTGTGGAAAATTGATAAGAAAGGACCAATAGAAATTAAGATAGGTTAAGAAAGTTAAAACCTTTAAAGACTTGTATAATAAGACAATTTTGGTTACCAACCTAAATTCCTAATAAGTGTTGTCTATTTTCTTTCAAGTTACGTTGCTGTTATTTTTTCTAATAAAGAGATGATGAAAGTTGTTGTAAAAGAAAAGTCAAAGCACTTTAGGGGAACCAATAGGAATTAAAAACAAAGTTAAAATGAAGGTTTAAAAATTGAAGAAGCTTGGTCATCAACATGTTAAATAGGCGGTTTCTCTTTCCTTCTTTAAAGAACACGCTCTGTACTCTCTCCCTCTCTTCTTCCTTGGTCGAAGACTTCAATGGAGAAAGGGCAAGTTTGAAGGTTAGGTTCTAGTCATCATTTCACCTCGTGGTCTTCATGAAACATGTAGATAACTATGTTGTGAAGTTATTTCCAGATTTATTTTTTTGTGGGAAGCATTAAATCTCTTCTTTCCTCCTTTGGGCAGCAGCGACCTGCATAGGAAAAGAAAGAAAAAAAGACACTATTTCATAGTTTAAAGCTTTGGGGAGTCTTCCTTGGTGATTGGAAAAGCTAATAGTTTAAAGCTTTGGGGAGTCTTCCCTGGTGATTGGAAAAGCTAGCCTAGGTAAATAATCTTCACTTGGTGTGTTAGATTTCAAGTTATAAAATTAATTGCTTGGATGGGGGGCTGTTATTAATAAGTTTAAACATGGAAATATTGATGAATTTTATGATTGATTATTGGTATTTAGTTGTTGGAAGTTTATATATGTTTGTTTTAGTTGAAAATAAAAATAGAGGAACCTTGTATATACAAAGAAATTTTCAGCCATAATGTGATTAAGTGGTGCCAACCATGTGTTTGCTAGATTGTCTAAAAGAAATATTGATTTCAAGTGATTGTTTGATGATTGCTTTAATTAAATTAAGAGTGAAATTATGAAGAAAGACTATAGAATCCTTTATAGGCCAATTCGGCCAAGTAAAATAAATTACATAAGACATATTTAGATCTTGTTTTTATGTGTGTGTGCGACTAAAAATATATATTAGAAGGTTACTTAGCATGAAACAAGTTGGTGTTAATGTAGTGAAGTTGATAGAAGTCTCAATTTGTCATATAGTTACTATTTGGCAATGGTAGTTTAAATAGGTACATGATGTGTTTGATTAATTTTGCATATGAACTCATGTTCAATGATTGGTTAAAGATTGATAGAATACAGAGTAAAGAGTAGAGGTGGTGAGAAAATCCTTGAAACTCTATAAGTTCCAATCGGCTATTTCATGGAAGTGAATGGAATTATGTTGTCATTAAGCTAAATGGTGTTGGAGGTTCCTTGAATATGACGTAAGTGATTGAAAGCTTGAAAGAAAATTATGGAATCATTAAATAGGTCAATCGGCCATATAGTGCAAGAGTGATGAAGAATGATTATTGATCATGTAGGTATGCTTAAAGAATGCTTGTTTTATAATATAAAAGTTGATAAATTGTGGGGAACTTACATGGGCACATTTAGGCTATACATGTATTTTGGCCATTGAATGGTGTTAATTAATATTATGAGTGTGTGATGTTCCTTTGCAATTGTTAGTAAAATGAAGCATTAATTAACTAAGATGAAATGGTAAATCCATGAGTATATGTATATGTAACTATTCGACCAATATTTAAGCTAATTAAACTTGATGAAATTATATATGTATGATTTTGGTTAGTAAGAGAAATGAATTAGAATGACCTTATATGAATTGTTTGTCTATGTTTTGTGGACCGTAACAGTGTATGTAAGTCTTAATGAGATAAAAATATGTATGGGTATTAGTGGTTGAACTAACCGGTTAAGGGTCTATTATGACTTGTGAATTCAGAGTAAGACCTTGTATGCCATGAATTGTAATAAATAAAGGAATGTTGGAATACTAAGTTAATGAACGTTGTAACTGAAAGAATATTGGTTACTTAAAAAAATAATATAATAAACTGTCATTAACGGTACGTTAATTATGGTACCAGTGAAAAGCAAGAGGTGTGAATCCCAGAAATTCGAACCCTGTGAGACGGACTACACGTGGATAGCTAAGTTCATAGTCTTCGTGTAAAACAAGTTATAGAAACGGAAAGCATTCAGGTAAGCTTTCGGTTTAGGAGTTTTCTCAGCTTTTTTTTGTCCTGCCATGATCAATGGCGATTATGGTTTCCGTATGGATATAATTGTTGTTAATATTGATACTTTGCGTAGTTGTATTCATATAGTGCATGCATATGAAATTATTTATGTTATGATAAGTTAATATGATATGATCTTCAATGGGATAAAAGCCTTGGAAGTGTAAGTTATGGTTTTCTGAACAGAGGAAACATTTATGGATATGATCACGATGTACATAAGGTATAGCCGAGGAAACTTTAGTCCTCTGGTCATTATGAGTATGCTATTGAATATGATACGATATTACGAATATAAGATGAAAGCCTTATTTATACATAAGACATGAACATACTTAAGATTAATAAGAAAGTACGTTATAAGAATGAATTAGAATTATCAGAAAAGATATATGATAAGGAAATTCTAATATGGATTATATGGTGTTATCTATGTCTTGGTGGAAATGGATCCTCTCATGTGCAAAAAAAACATGATATGATCATGTGAAAAGATCACAACCATACAAAAGTAAATCAACGGTTATGATTTCGTAATTACCTATTTTAACATTTTTTCTTTATCCTCCTTTATTACCATTGATCCACCTTTGTATGGTTATGATTCCCCACATGACATGATCATGTGAATTTTCACATAAGAGGATCCAGATCCATGTCTTGGTACTTGATATTTTCTTGTAGGAAGTGGACTCTTGGGTGGAGACTGCTCCATAAACCCCAAGTTTATTGAGATTCATTCTCACCCCGCGTTATGGGGACATATTTCAGGTATCGCAGCAGTTGACGATCGTTCTCGGGGCAAGAGGCCCCTGGTTGATGAGTAGATCTGAGCATAGATGTTGCCTGCTTATTTTGGGAGTCTGTTGTATATATATGTTCTACTGTGATCTGGCAATTTGATATTTTGCCGATGCATGGTTATTAGTTGGGCTTTTTGAGAGGCTATACTAGCTTGTGTACAGATGTATATATTTGTGACACTGTGATGTATTATGTCTATGTAGGTTGACGGAGGATGTTGTAGTTATGGCACAGAGCCACCTTTTTGATGTGATATATATAGAGTTATGGATCATGCATGTATATTACTGTATATGATATGGAATTGTTGTATATTATGGGTTGTAAAAGCCCCAAGGCATTGTTGGTCCTTGTGTGTGCCACCCACTGATTATTAGGTACCATTTGAGGTCATAGACCACTTGTACAAATTTGGGAAATGTTGGAAAAACAAAGGAAACTCTGGCGAATTTTCTGGAAATTGGCAGTTTTTAGGCAAACTTTGGGAGAACATATCTCCCTCCACAGAGGTCCGTTAGGGAAGTTCCATAAGTCATTTTAAAGCTTGAGATGTCCCCTACATGGTGTTAAAATCTGAGAATTTTCTGGGTTACACGCAGCCCTGCAGAAGACTGTGAACACGGACTATCCAGAACGCTCCTGTGCAGGGGCTGTTTCTAGCAGTTTTTGGGAATTTTATTACCGCTTCATTTCTCAGTCAAATTAAGCGTATAATATATCAAATTGAAGTTTGAGGTGTCTAGTTTGTTTTATAAAAATTTGAGAGCAATTGGATGAGTGGATTTGCTGCAGTAATTTGTGTAGTGAGAGATGTTTGGAGCTGTTTTGGGGTTGGTTGGCAGTTTTGCTTGTCTAACTGCAAACGGAGATATCCAGAGCAAACGAGATCGAAATGACTCGTGTGATAGCTTCCTAGAAAGGTAATTAAGTAAGAAAAAAAAGATAGCTAAAGAGGAAGGTCTGGTTTTGTGTGGTGTGTCCGCAGGAAAATAATTACCGAACCATGTTCGGATAGGTAGAAAACGTAAGATTGAGAAATTGGCTAAGTGAGTTTATGGGAACCCCTTAGTGTCTTGTATTAAGTAAAATAAGATATAAAAATAGTTTAAACAAGTATTCCGCAAGATTTTACAGTTATGGTCACAGCTTTTAATTATTACGCTTTTTACGATTTTAAATGCTCACGTAATAAACGAAAAAAGTTTACTCACATTTTTATAAATGAATTGCTGTGATTGTAACTGTGCTTAATATCATAATTAATGTTAACAATACCGATGTACAACGGGCTGTTACATTTTATGGTATCAGAGCAGTTTACTAGGGAACTCTGATTAGGTATGACTGTATGTTGTGTTGCATAGCTATCTGTAAACTCGTTATGATTAATGTATATGTGATTCCTCAGTGTGGGTCTGATCAGCTCATTCCTTTGTGTTACATGTACAGTTATCATGAGGGGGATTCATGGTGGCCGTGGGACGCGAGGTACAGATCCTCCACTGCCTGATCCGATTACTGCAGTTCTTAATGCTCTGCAGGCGGAGACGGCTGCTAATAGAACAATGACAGAAAACCTAATGAAGAATAATCAGGACATGTTGCATGCCTTCATGACTGAGATGAGGGCTAAGAGAGCTTAGCATAGGAGGGATGATTTTCCTCCTCACACGGCTACGGTGACTCCTACACCTACGCCATGTGTTACTCCCCAGCAGAGGGAGAGTGGAGCTAGTCATCACACTGGTGAGGCTAGTCAGCCTACTGTTTTTGTTGAGTCGTCTATTATTGTTGAACAGTATGATGAGGGTGTTATTGAGGAGAGGAGACTTATTTCTTTTCGTAAACACAAGCCTCCTACTTTTCTGGGGTCTAAAGACCCAAAAGTGGTCACTACTTGGTTGCAGGGTATGGATAAAATTTTCCAAGTTATGAGATGTCGTGACCCTCAGAAGTTTCGGTACTCTGTTTATATGCTGGAAGGAGATGCCTATGAGTGGTGGTGCAGCGTTTCTAGGCCTTTTGTGATACAAGGGCAAGAGCTTACTTGGGCCCTATTTGAGAATTTGTTTCATGTGCAATACTTTCGTAGGGATGCTAGAGAAGCCAAGCAAGGTGAGTTTGATTGTCTGGTCCAAGACTCTTTATCTATTGATGAATATGCTGCAAAGTTTAATGAACTAGTCAAGTTTGCTAATTATGGTGGGACTCTGCCTACCTCGGAATTCTTATCTGCTAAGTTTCAGAGGGGACTTAATGAGAAGATTGCAAAGCGTATGTCTAATACAGCCGTGAGGAATTTTGCTGATCTGATTACCCAATGTAAACGGGTAGAGACTGTTTATAGTAGGTATCCAAAATCTTCTACTTTTGGTGATACTGAGGTCAAGAGGACCGGTGGTACTGATGCTAAATTGAAAAATAATAAGGATAAAGGCTTACGGGGTGAAGCAATCTAGTGATGAGTTTAAGAGAAATGGCAATGTTGATAAAAATGAATTCGCATTCCCTGAATGTGACACTTGTGGGAAACACCATGGAGGTACTTGTTGGTTTACTACAAAGACGTGTTTCAAATGTGACAAATTAGGCCACTTTACTAATGTGTGTCCAACCAGGATATCTCAGGTTGCAAGTGTACAAGAAATTGATAGGACTCAAGCAGGAGGTCAGACTTATATATTAGAGCCACTTACTGAGGAGGAAAACCTCAGGATAGCTAAAGGTATGAAATTTAGAAATGTTTTCTATAGAATACTCATCTAGTGTGATGAAAATCGATAGGTAATTACATGAAGTGTAGATACATGCATGAGAGTAAAATGAAATTGAGTGTGAAGATGATATGACTAGTGAAAGGACTAGGGTACCATTGAATGATGAAATTGTATTATCAGTGCAAAGACTGATATACAATAAAATTATGTATTGTATTATCAGTGCAAGGACTGATGTATAATAAAGTAGTGTATTGTATTATCAGTGCAAGGACTAATGTAGCCGGTATCGGTTCTAACGCCAGTTCTCATTATTTTGACTTCAAACTTGTTATACTAGTCCTAGATATTATTCTAGTGATATATACATACTTTTCATCATTTTTCGGGATACTTCATCGGTACGTACTTATACCGTGAGGTAGAACCGATATCTGCACTTTTCTTCAGAAAAGCGACTTTCAACATTATAAATCCCTTATATTAATTATTCAATTCTTCTCATAATTATTCTAGGTTAATTATGGAATTATTTCCTAATATCATGATTATATCATTTAAATTCCTAAATTAACGGTGCGGGTTCTTACATTCACCCCACCTTTTAAGAATTTTGTCACATGTCTCGAAACTCGGGGTATTGCTGGAGATGCTCGTCCTCTCGCTCCCAAGTACACTCCTCAGGAGTCCTTCCTGTCCATTGCACTTGGACCATCGGAATGATCTTGCTCATCAGCTTCTTCTCGCCACGAACGAGAATCTTGAGTGGTCCGACGGGAGTTTTTAAGTTCTCCTGAACCTTCACATCATCAGGTTGCACCACGTACGATGAATTCGCAATATACTTCTGAAGTTGAGACACGTGAAACACGTCGTGGATGTTGGCCAAGTTTGGAGGCAAGACAAGACGGTAGGCAACAGGCTCTACCCTACCAAGAATCTGGTATGGCCCTATGAATCTTGGGCTAAGCTTCCTCACTCCGAGTGCCCGATCATCATCGGTGACAGGTGAAAGTCTCACAAACACGTGCTCACCCTCACTGAACTCCAGTGGTCGATGCCTGACATCGTAGCAGCTCTTCTGGCGATTCTACGCCTGCTTCAGCTTCTCTCTGATCATCTGGATCTGCTGGGTGGTATCTTGGACGAAATCCAAACTAAACAACTCTTTATCTCCAACCTCTGACCAACAGGTAGGAGTCCGACACCTCCTATCGTACAACGCCTTGTAGGGTGCCATGCACAGGCTAGCATGGAAACTGTTGTTGTACGAAAACTCAACCAATGGCAGGTACCTATCCCATGCTGTACCCTGCTCCAATGTGCAAGCCCTCAACATGTCCTCCAATGTCTAGATGGTCCACTCAGTCAGTCTGTCATTCTAAGGGTGATAGGCTGTACTCAATCTCAACTGAGTCCCAAAAGCT